CAGCTGCATTATGAGCCTGGTCGCTCATAAGAAATATTTGTAGCTTAATCGACTGTATCAAGGTGTCATATTTTTATAATCTACCTGTCAGCAATAGAAACCTTTATTTGCAAATGCAAACAAAACTGTTGTGAATGCATTAAAATAACGTATGTACCTGTTTTGTAAAGAAACTGCATTCTCACAACTAACAGCTACCCAATGTTATATGAGTCACAGAAAATCTCGATTGCAACTTACTAAGGTAGGGCCCTGGAAGTTCAAAACTGAAGAAACCCTTGGTAGGACGAAACAGCTGTTCAGTATCTTCCAGTTTTCCACTCTGGTCAAACTTATATCGATTCATACTTTAAAATCTATGAATACACGAATTAATATGCAGCCATCTCTTTAGGAATACTATAACTTTGTGAAACTTTACACTAATGCTAACTACTTTTGTATAATTCTGTTGCTGACTTTGATCCATGACATATCTAAATAGCATTACGGTTGAGAAGAAAATCTTTATAAATTCCATGAACCAACTCAAATTTATCTTACTGAAAGTTATTGAATTTATCAATGAACTCATTAAGTATTTGTCCTAACTGAGAGAGGTTACCTTAATTGTTAACAGTTTAGCAATTTCTAGCGTGTATAAACAAATCCCACATTTCTAAAGCAATTTCTAAAGAAATAATGTTCAACCAGTTAGATAAAGAAAATAACTGATGGCCCATTTTCAAATCTATATTCTCAATCTTCAAGCACAGATATTTCGATATAATACAAGATACAGATAGAAATTCATTATTAAAGTGTTTTTTTCATTCATGATCATGATAAGAACTGCAATGTTACATAGCATGTTAAATTGAAAAAAAAGACTATAAGTAACCATTCAAAAAGGTTAATAATGATGGAGAAAATTCACTAATGAGATGTGAAATAAAAACCCAATAAGGTATTAGAACATATTTCAGTTAGAGAGGTTACGTGGAAGAAAAAACTTAAATTGTTTGACCTTCGAAAAATAAATTAAACTGTCATGTAATTAAACACTTATGAGGAGAACGTTTCTACATTTTATTGAACTGAACTGATTATATTCTTGGTAAGACCTACATTTCTGCATTAGATTTTTTCCTGACAAAATCATATTTGTGAAAGATAATAATTTTCATTCGGTGACTAACGTGTTATATCTTTTGCGCTGATCGGATTCTATTCATCAAGTTATGGTGTAGTCTTCAATGTAAATGACTTTGTTGACACAAATTTTAGTTTAATGTCATAAAGTATGTTTAATAATCTCCAACACTGAGCTGACTAAATAAATTGAAAAGTTATTGTTTCTTTATTCGCGCAGTAATCAAAGTTCTTAGTATTTTTAAACATCGATATCTAAAAATATTTCGGTTTATTTCACTTTAAAAACTCAGTTTACGCTAAATGACAAATGATTTGCATAGGCATTCTCTTATAGGGTCTCACCAGCGTTTTTTTAATTACACAATTTAAAACATTGTTAAAAATTATTCACAATTCCCTCTGATTAAAACTTATTATTATGACACAATGTACCATTAAAAAAGATAATTGTTTTTTTGGTTTATACTACAATTCCACAAATTTCGGCATCATTTTGAACATTGAAAAAACAAAACTTTAATCGAAATACACACAATGTTAATATGTATGAAAATTAAGTTTCATTTATGCCTTGTTATTCTCAAAAGAAAGACAGTTTACTTTGTTGTTTAAAGTCTAGTCGTTAACTGGTATAAACCACTAATGTTAAGTGTGCTGCCGCACAAAGTGTTCAATATTTTGAAATGATCAAGGGTCATAAACTGTTTTAAATAATCAAACAGTCCTGGATATAAAAATATGTAGATGCTACATGAAAAACTAAGTTGCAAGTAAGTAGATTTTTATTTAAAATTTTTAATGTAAAACAGTATTATTATTTTTGTAACTGTACAAACGAAGAATATCTAAACAATGACTAATTCCCTCTTAATAAATACATTATGACATCTAATCTTTTACTGTTTGACAACGTTTGGTTGACATATATCTGAACAAAATTATTTCCAATTAAATCTTCATCAGTGTTCATTTTATTATACATTAATATTTATATGTATAAGTGGAAATGTATTCAGTCAATAAATGCCAGTCTATGGGTAAATAATTTCAATGAAATAGATTACTTAACTGCACGTAATAAGTAAAATAGTACAAGTTGCAGATGAATTAACTGGTTTAATGGTAATGATATGGATAACGAGAGATGAAGTTGTTTTATTTGGACATAAGAGTGTAAGATTCATTTTTTGAAGGCTTAGTTTGTGAAAATCCCTCCATGTATACATTTGCAATTTGTCCTTATTGGTTCCGTCAGTTGTACATTTTGTTAATCTGTTCGATTCCATTTGAGATGATAATATTTGTATTTTATTATAGTTTCTATCGCTTCTGCCTTCACTGAGTTTCTATGTTTCTTTCTGAATTGCATTTATGTTGTTTAAGCTGATACTTAGTCGTGGCAACAGGCATACTGATGTGTTCTTCTTTTGATTGTGTCGCACGCCTTGACCGGAATTGTGAATTGAAGCACCGTTCCAGAATAAGAAGTACTCTGTGTTATACAGTGACCAACTATTATCTTTCGAACGAATCTGATCTATCCAGAAAGGATAGAATAACATTTATTTGTTGTTGCTGTTGATTTGATTAATTGAACAATTTTTGACGCAATAACTGAGTGGTTACATTTGTTTATGTAATGATGTATCTTTTTATTTAAGTTAAGTATTAGAACCGTCATTCACCCAATCACTTTGTTTTGGTTTCAACTAGGCAAGGCGCGTATCTAAACTGCCTAGACAGCTATTCATCAGTTCAAACCTCAGTTTCGATCCTACAAGAGGTACGGTTAAACTTGGAAATTAAGCATTGAAATTACTTACTTACTTCCGAGTGTTTTTCTCAATGGAGCACAGGTCATAAACATTTTACTCTGTTTAGCGATTATTAAAAAAGTGCAAACTTTACATCGACATAACAATCCATTGAAAAAAACAAGATAAAAGTGATAGGAAATTTATTTGGATTTGCATATTTCCTCGAAAATCATGCCTACTTCAGAAGATATAATCAATCATAACCGATTACAAAAGGTACCTTCGCCATTTCATCCAAGATATTTGAAACAAGTGAGTGCAAAACACTAGAAATCTGAATGTGTTTCAGGTACTGGTTTTACTTGGAATACTAGTAGTTCTATCAATCGGAATAACACTTGGTTTGTCAGCAATGCAAGTACATAAAATTAAATTTACCACCCAGTAATAGAATAAACAGAAAATTGGAAATTTTATCTTTAGTACTTCCTGAGACAGTGTTGGCGTAAGTTTATTATTTTACTCCTGATAATAATTAAAATCAATACCACCGTTTAATTTTGTTGTCATCTACGTTGTGCTCCTTAATATATTATATAAATTAAGTAAATGAAATGCTACACTTCAGTAAATAATATCTGCATTGCTTTTAGTAAAATAATCATTAATATCAGTTTATAATTCTAGATTAGCACCAAAGACTAACTTTAAACAGATTTCATTGATTTTGCCTGTTACCCAAGTTGAGTGTAGGTCGCCGACCGGAATTCTCCAGCCTACATTTTCTTGGGCCTCCCTTTCTACTTCTGTCCAATTTTCGTTTATTCTTCGATTTCTGTCTCCATTTCTCGGCATAAGGTGTTCCTTGGCCTTCCTCTTTTCCTTTCACCTCGAGGTTTCCAACTGTCAGCTTGTCTTCTGATGAAGTTGGCTGCTTTCCTTGATGTGTGTCCCACCCACTTTCAGCGACTCTATCTGATTTATTCCTCCACTGGAACCTGATTTGTTCTCTTCCACAGGAGGTTGTTGCTGATAATGTCTGGCCAACGCATCCGAAATATATTGAGTAGACAACTGTTGATAAGCACTTGTATTTTTTGGATGATGGCTTCAGTAGTTCTCCAAGCATCCGCCTCATACAGCGGAACTGTCTCGACATTTGTATTGAATATTCTGACTTTGTTGTTTGTTGATAGTTGTTTTGAGTTCCAGAAATTCTCCAATTGTAAAAATGCTGCCCTTGCTTTGCAGATTCGCACCTTCACATCTACATCAAATCCACCTTTGCTAATCAGTGATGCAAACCAGGTATGTAAATGTTTTTACATTTTCCAAAGCTTCTTCGCCAAGGATGATTTCGTCTGTGCATACTGTGTTGCATTGGAGAATCTTGCTTTTATATTTGTGTATATGTGTCACAGAAGGTGTCATGCTATTTTCCTGTCCATGCTATCAAATACTTTCTCGTTGTCAATGACGTTGATGGATAGTGGCAAATTCCGTTCATTTGACTGTTTCACAATGATCCTTAATGATGCAGCTTGGTCGTCATACGACCGATCTTTACGGAATCCAGCCTGTTAATCTCGAAGTTGGGAGTCTACCGATTCCTTCATTTTGTTTAACAACACTCTGTCGAAGACCTTGGCTGGTAATGAGAGAAGAGTGATGCCTCTACAGATCTTATACTTGCTGAGATCTCTTTTCTTCGGAATCTTGACTAGGTGTCCTTCTTTCCAGTCTGGTAGTACTTGTTCTTCATCCTCTATCATACTGAAGAGAAAGTGAAATATCTTAGCAGTTACCGCTACGTCTGCTAAACAGAGTTACGTACAATACTAACTGGTTGAGGTTGATTTTAGTTCCAACAGTGTGACTTTGTGTAATTGAATAAATATTGAAAACTTGAACTGTTTCAATCCATCATGCTTGACCAAAACCTAACTTAATAATTGTTTCAATATAAAATATAGACGTAGTTTGTGAGTATAAATTCAAGTGTCTTTTTAAAGTTCTAATTTATATGTAGACAAAACATAAAATAAAACTGTTGATTACATTTAATTATGGAAAAGTTCAAATCATGAATTTCTTTTTTTTATAGGCAGTATGTGTATCCATGATGGTTGTTCTCCCTTTCACCGATTTGGCAACTCATTGGCAATTAATAGTATGGACTGTTGCCTTAGTATCGTTCACCATATTCACCATAATAGGAGCAATTATTCCACTACCTTTATCGTATACAAATATTTGGTTTATTGTACTTTCTACAATGACATTCATTGTCATCATCGTATTAGTGTTGATCTCACAGATTTTCGATTTAGAGGTATGGTTTAATTGTATTTTTTAGGTAGTGTGTATTTCATAATATTTCAAAGCAAACAGTAATTCACATCTCACTGTTTAACTTCTAAACTAACAGTTTTCTAATCGATGATCTACTTAAATATTCTTTTCAGGAAGTAATGATTGTCTGTGCTGTGTTTGCAGCAGTTTTGTTAATCATTGTAAGTTAAAATCATAATTATTTCCAATTTTTTTGTTAATTTGAGATTTTCATCAGGTTTTTATGTCACACTACATCGGTATTCTTTCTACAATCACGTTTGTAATTGTACGGAAACGCGAATCATTTAAAATTTTTTATCACTGAATAATCTTGTTTCGATAAATGACAAAGAATACACAGATATCTTTTCTTAGCATGGGACTCTTCATTTGCGCATATCCATAACTCGATCAATCACCTAATATGAATCACCTGGCGTTCAAAATGCACGCCGTCGAATACTGCTGTAGGATAAGCGTTGCACGCGTACTAGGACTTTTTCAATAAAAGAGAAATATTTTGTCTGATTTAAATAAATTTGCTCGATGAAAAATTTCATCACGTCAACCAACAGTGTGCTCTGATAACATGGACAACAATGTGTTTATAAGTATTTTCATGCAACTACATAGAGGTATTTGTTTAGTAGCTATTTTACAAAAAATATTGTAAAACTGGTTCACGTAAATAATCATGAGCTTAACCCTAAATTTAACTTCCCACTCATGATCCCCATGCCGTAAATAATTTAATTATTTATTTACATTGTAGTTGATTAATGAAGGATATTTGCATTTAGTCTCTTTATAATACACAGTTCAATTGATTTCATACACAAATTTACATAAAAACGAACAGTAATATTTATCATCGCCAATATACAGGGATGTTCTTTTAAATATTTTTAAATTCTGTTATCACATGTGTGAAACACATAAGCTGGAACAAATGTTTAAGTAGCGCTGACTTTTTGATACCTGGTTTTATGCAAAAATAGATGATGTAGTGAATATATGTCGAATGAAACCTTATGATTTAGTCATGAAATGTGATTGATGATCAGCAAGTATCAGAACGAAACAGATTCGAAGTAATTATGTTATTTGAAATCAATAACAGATAATATAAATAAAATTCTACACATTTGGAATCATCAATCAATTTTTTTTAGACCACCATTAGAAATCTGTAAGCACTGGACGGCCGTTTCGTCCTGGTATGGGACTCATCAACAGTGCGCATCCACGACTCCTACACCTAGCAGGATTTGAACCCGGTATTGTGCGCGAAAATATCGTAACAGTGCTCACTAGTGACTAGCTTCGTGAGGAAATTCTCGGGGTTCTAGTTAAGAAGACGTGACCAATGAAGTTCAACCCTGTCGGGTGTAGGCAGTAACTAACAAAGACAACTGGATGAGGTCGCAAAAATCCCTAGATCAATCAGAGTTAGACATTAACACTGTCGGATGCCGGTCCAGTAGTCCGATGGTTAGGCGTTTGCGCACAAAACCGGGTTGGAATCCTGCGAGGTGTAGGAGTCGTGGATGCGCATTGCTGATGAGTCCCATACCAGGACGAAACGGCCGTCCAGTGCTTCCAGATTTCTAATGGTGGTCTAACAATGATTGATTGATGATTTCAAAAGTTTAAAAACACAAACCTCCAATACTCTGCCCGAAAATGAAAATTCATCATGAATTCGAATCGTACTTAATATAGTACTTTCTTTCTGCTCTTCGTCACTGGTACTATCAACTCGGCTGTGTGATATTCATCTTACTAGCTTAATTGCATGAGATTCAGGTGTTTAGGATGACTAAAATAATAACTTACTGGCAAACCACACGTGTGAAAGTCAATTAATTGATTGGTCTCTCAGTGAAATAAATATCATGGTGAGTATCAAACAGTTTGACAAGTAAAAATTACATATTTGTCATACTGGTAGTTAACTATTATCGAACCTCTACAAAATTGTATCGAATTCTGATGAAAGACATAAAGAGTATCATTTTTCATAGTGGGAAGGTTTACGATTAACATGATACGCGGTAACTAAAACACACTTATACAAATATGTACTACATGTTACATTTGATGGTCTGTCTGTTTAGTTATTCTATTCCATTAAAGATGATTTAGGAAACTGATATATTGTTCAGCTGCATGTTCATACAAAACCACTTGTTAACGGAATACATGTTCTGTTTTCTTTTTTTCCAAGTTAATGCTGATTGTAGGACAAGTAACATTTGGCAAACCTGAATTGCGAATTGTCGGTGATGATTATTGTCTAGCAACATTGTTTTTGTATACTGTGTTGATGATGGATCAGTTAACAGGTATTCAACTTTGTGAGTATTTCGTGAACATCACATCAAATGGATCGTCAGTTAATGGAAGCGTACAGGTTTCACCGGGATTTTTGGAATAGAAACTAATTTCACGCTTAAGATAAGAATCTATAATGACGTTATAACCTGTGTTTGTATTTTATGATATGATTTCATTGACACTGCATAGTTTTCTTGTATGTGCCACATATTTATCTTCACAGTCGATAGTAATATTCAAAAACATTCTTTTGAATAAGTTAAGTGTTTTATTTTCAATATGGTGTACCTAATATGAATCGGTTAGTTTGAAAAACCATAGAGTCCTGACGTTAGTAATGAAACGTGTGACTTTGGTGTTGGTTGATATTTGTTTTGAGTTTCAGTGTTCAAAAGTAGAAATACTTCCGTCCCTTTGCTAATCCATACCTTCACTACATCTTCCAAAGACTTTCAACCAAGTGTGATTTGGTTGGTGCATGTTGTGTTGTATCGGAGGATCTTGCTTATTCCTTTCTGTAAGGTCAAACCTACTGATGTGGAGGCTGCTGCTACACTGATTGTCTTATATTGCATTGGTTGCTGCAAGTTCAGATTATTCAGCTGCAGTCTGCTCCATCACAGGAATCTCGTATTATGATGACTAACTTCTCGGGTACATGGTAGAGTCGAATAAGGCTTCTTATCGTCATCTTATCCACTCTCTAAAATGCTTCCTCATAGTCAATGAAGTTGATGTATTGTGGTGAATTCCATTCAAATAACTATTCGCGATCTGGTAGGTACACAAACAGCCCTTGCGGAATATAGGTTGATGCTGTCGATGTTAGGTATCTACTGAAAATTATGTTTATACAATGTTATATTAACAGAAAGACATTTTACCTACACATTGAAGTTCATTTGGATATTGATGCGGGCCTTTATTATCAATGGCACACCACAAATTTCATATAATATTATGATTATACAATTAAAGCTGTCCTACATCGTAAACAGTTCTTTGTATAGTAATGGTCAAATGGTACATAAATAAAACAAAAATGCATTACTTCATGATTCATTGAGGTTCTGTATGAAGATTATTAATTTCATTCGAAACGGACATATTGTTCAATGAAATCTCAAAACATATACCGAATTGTATTGCAATGAAATGTATTATTCATTTCTTTTGATGTATTTTGCATTATTTGAGCAAAAATATGATTTTTTAGGCTTTTGAAACTTTGAGTCATAAGATTTCATTAAATCTTGGTTTCAGTCAATATTTTAGTTCAACTTTTTCTAAAGTTAATTTCATTCATTGCTCGTTCGAACACAGCTTCATGAAATTTTCCATTACAAGACTCAATGTATAAACCAAGTTTAGATTAATGTAAGAAATCAACTTTGACAATCTAGAACTATCCAGTTTATCTAAAAAGCGCTCGAGAAACTATGTTGTTATATTACGACCCTTTGGAGATATTTAAAATATGTGATAACTTATTTTCATTTCAGCCTTCAATTATCATTTCTGATATTAATGCAGTTATGTTATCAAGCATACGAGATGACATTTCGCCTAATTATCATTTAGTATATGGAATATTCCTGTAGTTTAATTTAAAGTTTTTGACGTCATTTATTTTGTTTGATGTAGAATAGATCTGTTCAATAAAATAATTCAGAATTGCATTGAAGGATATGAGAAGCGAACACATCTTATCAACAATATGTCCATCCAACTTATTGAGAACGATTTATAATCTCATCACCTGTTTGTAGGTATTACTTCAGTATTAGTTCATATCCTGGTTAAATGTCTTTCGGAAACACAATCAGTAACTGATATTTATTTTGAGCTAAAGTAAGAAACAATCGAATGTGCACAAGAGACGGCACTGAAGAATCTAATTTAAAAACAATGTTGCTTTTGTCTTGTTTAATATATATGTAAAATATTATAGTTCTGATTTATTCAGGACTAGATTTTTTAGTCTTTTTGGAGGACATACATCGTGTGCATAGTGTACGACTGGGATTTTCCTGTTGTATTCAAATCATTATAAGTTAGTTGTAGAGGGGTGGAGAGTAAAAATACCAGGAGTTACCATTAGCTAACACTTGAAATTGTATTGAACTGTAAAAATATTTTACTAACATATTATATCATCGATGATTACAGTACACTTTATCTTCTTTCTCAGTTCACATTCATTATTTCGGTTGCATGATGTGCATTTTACTGGTAGCGACACTTCGACCCTATGTATTGTATGTATTGTATGTATGTATGTATTTGAAGGATATACAAATTTCATAAGTTTTCATTTGATTCATTCATTAACTGTTTAAACAAGTTAACACGATGGAATGATAAGCCAGTTAAGCTTGAAATTATGGAAAGACTTTGAGCGAGTAAAACTGTAATATGTGGTATATAAATGTAATGCTGTAATGATCTGTTTATAATGTAAGATTGTTTCACTTTTCCTACAATGGATATCAAGATGTCGTAACATACCAAAATATTCGAAGAAAGTTTACAAACCGTATGCTCAGATACCAAATAGTACATTTGATGTACTTAGGATCTGAGATATACGTATACGAAAACAGCAAATAATCAGATTTAGTTGTGAAACTGGAATATTGTTTAGTAAATAACTACGACATCAACAATAACGGTTTGTGCCTGTTTATCTTCAAACTACAAATAGAAAGCAACACATTTAAATGTTGAGAGTAATGAGTGAAGTTGTTACATACTTTTCATGTATATTTAAGAATAACAGTTAGGAGAAAATGATGCCGTTTATCTTTGTAGCTATTACTGTGAAGTCAAACGTTAAACAGTTCTATGGAACAAGTGTGTTCAATTTCACGAAGAAAATTTGTATAGTTTTTTGAGAGATTAGGATTTCTTCTCAAACGTTCCATATAATAGTGTTTTAGTGGATTACTCAATATTTCCACTTGGTTTTTGATTTTTCACGACAATAGAAGAATTTGACAATTTTTAAGCGGTCAATTTCGAAATTTAACTCAAAATTAAAATGAATGAACTGACAAATGCCTTTTTCAAACAAGGATGTAACACTATTTGTTGACATTTCTATGTGCATTTTGTTGGAAAGTCAATATTCTAGGCATAAAATATTCAAATCTACATTCAAATCCTCGAGAAAATCTCACACTTACTTGGAATTTAAAATTTATCGAAATAATTAAAGTTTGTGGGCAGGTTATATTCATGGGTTAGAAAAAACAATACCAACTGGTTAAAGCCACAAAAAATCTTATTAATAAACACATAAAATAGCAATATTGACCAATAAATGTTTGCATTAAGGGGTAGTGAAAATTGTTCAATTACTTTTCGTTATCATGAATCAATCACTGTTAAACCACCATAAGAGACATGGAAGCACTGGTCGTTTGTTTCTTCCTCGTATGGGACTCATCAGCAGTGCGTATCCACGACTACAGCACCCCGCAGAATTGGATCCTAGGAACTTCAGTCCTGCGCAGGAAAGACCGACCTTTGAACCCTGAAACAGTATCTGCTGATGTTATTGTCAAATATCGATCAGTTCACGGTCTTGAACAACCTCATACACTGTTTTCGATGAATACCGTTAGATACCGTCTCAGTGGTCCAGTAGTTAGGCGTTCACGCACAGGATCGAAGGTCGTGGGTTCGAATACTTATAGTAACAGGAGTCGTGGATGCGCATTTCCGATGGATCCTATTCCAGAACGAAACGGCCGTCCATTGCTTTCAGATTCCTGAAGGTGGTCTAACACTGGCAAATTCATGATTTCAAAAAGTAATATTTGTCCACTCGTCGGTGACACCAAAACCAATAGTATTGTTCATAAATATAATAAATTGAAAAATTGTCAGTAATTGTCATGAATGTAAACTGATATATCGTTACAATCATGTAACTATTAATTCATCATACGACGAGTAATGAAAAAAATTATCATTCACTCATCGAATTTAAGACACTAGTAATCTTGAATGTTCGATTAATGAACAAAACTGATCTCATTGCACGAACTTTGATAAAACTAATTGATGTGTTCACACGGAATGCCAAGGAGAAACTGAAGGTTTTTTAGGGGCACAAAACAACGCAAACAGCATATTAACGGAGGATCAAGTTTCTCTTTTGGTTTATTCATTTTCACCGTCTTACAAAAATGATCTTTGGTTATTTTGAAAACACTTGATTACATGTGTCTGTGGTCATTGGAACAAATAAATGAGCACTACAGAGGTAAACCAATGTGTTGTCAGTGATGATTAGTGTCTGGGCACATTGTTATTGCACATGGTATTGACGATAGATCAGCTGAGATTCAGTATATTCCAATTTAGTAGCCATAGTAATGTTATTCGGTTGCACGTTGATGAAATTTTATTCTGACCATCTAACAACAAACTTGTGATCATAACTAATTTCTTGTAGTAATGTGGTGTGTTCAATGCAAACTTGAATAAAATACTAATTATAAATACTGAGAATGCAAAAGATATATGTGAGTTGCCAAAAATCAAAAATGATTTGATTTGCATTATTTCGCATCTAATCTGATTCCTAAAACACTAGTTATGATTGCACTTGCGAAGTTTTAGATGATTTTATGACTGTTTCTTGTGTGACAACTAGGGTACCAATTGAACTGTTCCGAATATTACTAGATAGCATGCCGAATTCAATTATCATGTGGTATATAATCATTAGCAAACGAGAGAAATCTGTCACTGATGATATCTGATTTCATCTCTTCTACTACTACAACCTAAGCGTGTTATCCTGTTTAAAGTGTTGTTCGCCGATTTGTTAGTGCTGTCTTTGCTTTGATAATCGATACATTTACATCTGCCTCAGTCACGTTCCGTTTGCAAAACATCTGTGAACTACAATTCATGCTCAACATTTCCATTCAGTCCTGTTTAAGAGATATTGTGATAATTTGGATTAGCCATTAATGGAAACAATTGTGAACTCCGCAAGTAGAACCTTAGGGGCTACTGACGGTCCCAAACCGGATAAAGGAGGAGGGTTGGACATGGGGTTGGCGACCCCATTCCGTCAAAAACTAACTTGCCAAAAAAACGCTAACCAGAAAAAATAATTCAAACCATTTTAACTCTGCCCTGGGAGTTGGAAGAAGAATTATCACGTCGCGTGATGAAAGCCGAGTTCTCTCGGAAGTCACGGGGCCGATGCCTCTTCTGACAACCAGAGCAACCATTCTTTTAGGTACATGGAACGTTCGTACATTGTGGGAAACTGGAAGACTATTTCAAGTTGTGGCAGAAATGAAAAGATACAACCTCGAGGTGCTCGGCATCAGTGAAACGCATTGGACACAGGCAGGACAACTGAGACTTGCTTCAGGGGAACTGCTGTTATACTCTGGTCATGAAGAGGAAAATGCTTCACATACACAAGAAGTTGCACTGATGCTGTCCAAACATGCACAAAAGGCACTGATAGGATGGGACTCTCATGGACCCAGGATCATCAATGCATCCTTCAAAACAAAGAAACAGGACATTACAATGAACGTCATCCAATGTTATGCACCTACCAATGACTACAATGACGACGTTAAAGATCAATTCTACGAAAGGCTGCAGTCAATCGTCGAGAAATGTTCACCAAAGGATTTGACGATTCTTATGGGAGACCTAAATGGCAAGCTTGGAATGGACAACACTGGATATGAAGACATCATAGGACGACATGGACTAGGAGAGAGGAACGAAAACGGTGAGAGATTTGCAAACCTATGTGCCTTCAACAAACTGGTCATCGGTGGCACAATATTCCCACACAAACGCATACACAAAGCTACATGGATTTCACCAGATCACATTACTCAAAACCAGATTGATCATATCTGTATCAAAAAAACGTTCAGAAGGACTATGGAGGATGTGAGAACCAAGAGAGGACCTGATATAGCCTCAGATAACCAATTGCCGATAGCAAAAATGAAACTAAAACTAAAGAAGCACTGGATAACGGGGAGACAACATCACAGAAGTTTCACACGGCCCTTCTTCGGGATACAGTAAAACTCAACGAATTCAAGACAGCCCTCAACAATAGGTTTCCGGCCTTGGACGATATACTCAATGGAGAGGAAACAACATCGGAGAACAATTGGAAAAGGATTAAGGAGGCAATCACTTCAACATGTCACGAAGTTCTGGGTCACAAGAAGTACCATCACAAGGAATGGATCTCTGTTGATACTCTTGCAAAAATTGTAGAAAGGGGGAACAAGAAGGCAGCAATCAATGTCAGCCGAACAAGAGCAGAGAAAGTTACCGCATAAGCTGCATACACAGAAGCAAACAGGGAAGTGAAGAAGAGCATCAGAGCTGACAAATGAAAATATGTGGAAGATCTAGCAATGACGGCGGAAAAGGCTGCGAGAGACGGAAACTTGAGGCAATTGTACGAAACAACAAAGAAGCTCGCCGGAAACTATCGTAAACCAGAACGACCAGTGAAAAGCAAGGAAGGCAAAGTAATCAGTAACACTGAAGAACAGCGAAATAGGTGGGTAGAGCACTTTAAGAAACTATTGAATCGACCAGCTCCACTGAGCCAACCAACATCGAAGCAACATCCACGGACCTCCCAATCGATGTTGGCGCACCTACAATTGAAGAGATCAGTATGGCAATCAGACAAATCAAGAGCGGCAAAGCGGCAGGACCAGACAACATTCCAGCAGAGGTGATGAAAGCAGATGTAGAAGCAACTGCGAATATATTTCACATCCTCTTCAAGAAGATTTGGGATGAGGAACAAGTACCATCAGATTGGAAAGAAGGATACCTGATCAAAATAACAAAGAAAGGCGATCTCAGAAAGTATGAGAACTACAGAGGCATCACTCTTCTCGCAGTACCAGGCAAAGTCTTCAACAGAGTATTGTTAAACAGAATGAAGGACTTCGTAGACGTCCAACTTCAAGATCAACAGGCCGGATTTCGTAAGGATCGATCATGTACTGACCAAATTGCTACATTACGGATCATTGTGGAACAATCAATTGAATGGAACTCACCACTCTACATCAACTTCATAGACTACGAGAAAGCATTTCATAGCGTGGATAGGAAAACACTGTGACGGCTTCTTCGACACTACGTTGTGCCTGAGATGATTCTTAACATCAAAAGGAATTCTTATGATGGATTCAATTGCAAAATCGTGCACGAAGGACAGCTAATATACTCTTTTGAGGTGAAGACCGGTACCACGCAAGGTTGCTTACTCTCACCCTTTCTCTCTCTCCTGTTGGTCGACTAGATTATGAGGACGTCAGCATGTGGAGGGAAGCACGGAATTCGATTTGACTGCTTGGACGCAGCTGGACGATGTGGATTTCGCAGATGATCTGGCTCTTCTATCGTACACGCAGCAACAAATGCAAGAGAAGACGACCAGTGTAGCTTCAGCCTCTGCAGCAGTAGGTCTCAACACACACGAAGGAAAAATCAAGATTATCCGATACAACATAACATGCGCCAACCAAATCACCCTTGATGGAGATGCCTTGGAAGACGTTAACACCTTTACATATTTTGGCAGCATGATCGACAATCAAGGTGGATCCGATGCAGATGTGAGTGCGCGGATTGGCAAAGCAAGGGCTGCATTTCTACAATTGTAAAATATCTGGAACTCCAAACAACTGTCAGCCAAAACCAAAATAAGGATTTTCAATACAAATGTCAAGACAGTTCTACTGTATGGAGCGGAAACTTGGAGAACAACGAAAGCCATCATCCAGAAGATACAAGTGTTTATTAACAGTTGACAACATAAAATACGTCGGATCCGTTGGCAAGACACCATCAGCAACAACGTACTGCGGGAGAAAACAAACCAGATTCGAGTGGAGGAGGAAATCAGGCAGAAGCGGTGGAAGTGGATAGGACACACTACGAAAAGCACCTAACTGCGTCACGAGACAAGCCCTCACATGGAAGCCTCAAGGCAAAAGGAAAAGAGTGAGGCCAAGGAATACATTACGCCGAGAAATAGAGAAAGATATGAGAGGAATGAACAAACGTTGGACAGAACTGTAGAGGGAAGCCCAGGACATAGTTGGTTGGAGAAGACCGGTGGTCGGCCTATGCTCCATGGGGGGTAACTGGCGCAAGTAAGTAAGTAAGTAGGTAGCAGTTGTGAGAATAGTCTACATTTTATGTCTTGGGCATTATTCCAACGCATTAAAATGACTGTATTTTCATTAGGCTATTGCTATCAGTATAGGAATCACGTTATATACCAGAACCATTCAGTCGATTATACTCGCCTCGACATGTTTGAACAGTTGAAAGATGATCAAATTATTATTTATTAAAGTTCCAACAATATTCCAAACTGATCTTGATAAAATGTTTGGTTAATTAATTTAATTAAAACAAATTATTTATTATTTTTAGTTGGACAACAGTTGAATTTGAAGTCTGTAAACTGTGTGGCATTTGAATATCCTGTAATTTGTTGTAGCATCAATGTAATGTATAGTAATAAAGAGGCTAAACAAGCATCACCATCAGTAAGACGAAATTTCCCAAGTGTTGCTTGACCCACAGTCATATTTAACTGAAAATGAAATCAAATATACATGAACGATTTATGATGTGCAAACAAATGATAATTAATATTACCATTTCGGAAAGCTCCATTTTTGAACTTTTTGACACCCTACTTATTTCGTTTGCCCAGTATTATTTTCTAACAAATCGGAACAGTCAAATCTACCCAATTAGTTTTTGGTGGGTATTCTAAGATAAGAATGAGATAGGTGTGAACTGCTTTCCAGTTTTCGGTGTTTATCCGAATAAGATTAGTCCATGATATGGTCTGATTGCATGCATATGTATTTGAAATGTTTTAATTATTTTTATTGTATTTTTCTTTTCTTGAACTTGTAGTTCATGTGTGTGTGTATATCAGTGTGTAAATCAGTTCATGTGTCAAGTCAACGTGTGTCAAATCAAATTGAAATTCAATTTGAAATTCGCAGGAAAATTAGATCATGCACAAAATATCACTAACAATCAATAATCCATTATTAAGTAAACTTCCTGCATATTTCAACGAATTCTATGTCACTTTTAATTAGAACATATAAATGCATTTACAAAACTGTACTGTTGATTGAGGTTAACGTATGAGTGGTATTCTTACATCAATGTGGTTTGATGGGGGTTATTGTTGTACCAATCAGAAGAGGTTTGGCAACAGGACTTCGAATGCCTAAGATTGCTAAACATGCTCAAATTGTATTCCAACCGAAAACCACTTCAGTAGATATCGGTTTCTTTTCAAGTTTATCAAACTGTGTAGTACTGCTCGTTACTCCTATACCTGTATTGGGAAAATCGTTTTTAAAATTTCAAATATCCTTAGTTTTTGAACTCATTTAACGTACTGCTTCATAGATATGGGATGAAACTTTAACTGCATAGAATGACATCAGAGTATTCTGCATACTTTGATCTTGTCTTTTTTTAATAATCCAAATTCTATATGAAACCTCAATTATCAGACCATTCGAATTAGAGAATTATTTTGCATTAATCGAAAATAACTAAACGAAATTGCTATTATGTACTCGATTCTGGATGAATAAATAAATTTCTAAACTCCTATCTGTTGTAAGCACTGACGCTAAACAAATTCAAACATGTAAGTGTTTAATATAACAATGAATTTTTGAGCAAATATCAGCAAACATCTATATTTATTTGGATGACGGTTGTGTTGATTAGGAATGCTGCTTTCTTTTACAATTCAATGACATACTTACTTATTTTCTTACTTACTTACGCCTGTTATTCCCAATGAAGCATAGGCCGACCACCGGTCTTCTCCAACCAACTATGTCCTGGGCTTCCCTCTACAGTTCTGTCCAACGTTTGTTCATTCCTCTCATATCTTTCTCTATTTCTCGGCGTAATGTATTCCTTGGCCTCACTCTTTTCCTTTTGCCTTGAGGCTTCCATGTGAGGGCTTGTCTCGTGACGCAGTTAGGTGCTTTTCGTAGTGTGTCCTATCCACTTCCACCGCTTCTGCCTGATTTCCTCCTCCACTCGAATCTGGTTTGTTTTCTCCCGCAGTACGTTGTTGCTGATGGTGTCTTGCCAACGGATCCGACGTATTTTATGTTGTCAACTGTTAATAAACACTTGTATCTTCTGGATGATGGCTTTCGTTGTTCTCCAAGTTTCCGCTCCATACAGTAGAACTGTCTTGACATTTGTATTGAAAATCCTTATTTTGGTTTTGGCTGACAGTTGTTTGGAGTTCCAGATATTTTACAATTGTAGAAATGCAGCCCTTGCTTTGCCAATCCGCGCACTCACATCTGCATCGGATCCACCTTGATTGTCGATCATGCTGCCAAAATATGTAAAGGTGTTAACGTCTTCCAAGGCATCTCCATCAAGGGTGATTTGGTTGGCGCATGTTATGTTGTATCGGATAATCTTGATTTTTCCTTCGTGTGTGTTGAGACCTACTGCTGCAGAGGCTGAAGCTACACTGGTCGTCTTCTCTTGCATTTGTTGCTGCGTGTACGATAGAAGAGCCAGATCATCTGCGAAATCCACATCGTCCAGCTGCGTCCAAGCAGTCAAATCGAATTCCGTGCTTCCCTCCACATGCTGACGTCCTCATAATCTAGTCGACCAACAGGAGAGAGAGAAAGGGTGAGAGTAAGCAACCTTGCGTGGTACCGGTCTTCACCTCAAAAGAGTATATTAGCTGTCCTTCGTGCACGATTTTGCAATTGAATCCATCATAAGAATTCCTTTTGATGTTAAGAATCATCTCAGGCACAACGTAGTGTCGAAGAAGCCGTCACAGTGTTTTCCTATCCACGCTATGAAATGCTTTCTCGTAGTCTATGAAGTTGATGTAGAGTGGTGAGTTCCATTCAATTGATTGTTCCACAATGATCCGTAATGTAGCAATTTGGTCAGTACATGATCGATCCTTACGAAATCCGGCCTGTTGATCTTGAAGTTGGACGTCTACGAAGTCCTTCATTCTGTTTAACAATACTCTGTTGAAGACTTTGCCTGGTACTGCGAGAAGAGTGATGCCTCTGTAGTTCTCATACTTTCTGAGATCGCCTTTCTTTGTTATTTTGATCAGGTATCCTTCTTTCCAATCTGATGGTACTTGTTCCTCATCCCAAATCTTCTTGAAGAGGATGTGAAATATATTCGCAGTTGCTTCTACATCTGCTTTCATCACCTCTGCTGGAATGTTGTCTGGTCCTGCCGCTTTGCCGCTCTTGATTTGTCTGATTGCCATACTGATCTCTTCAATTGTAGGTGCGCCAACATCGATTGGGAGGTCCGTGGATGTTGCTTCGATGTTGGTTGGCTCAGTGGAGCTGGTCGATTCAATAGTTTCTTAAAGTGCTCTACCCACCTATTTCGCTGTTCTTCAGTGTTACTGATTACTTTGCCTTCCTTGCTTTTCACTGGTCGTTCTGGTTTACGATAGTTTCCGGCGAGCTTCTTTGTTGTTTCGTACAATTGCCTCAAGTTTCCGTCTCTCGCAGCCTTTTCCGCCGTCATTGCTAGATCTTCCACATATTTTCATTTGTCAGCTCTGATGCTCTTCTTCACTTCCCTGTTTGCTTCTGTGTATGCAGCTTATGCGGTAACTTTCTCTGCTCTTGTTCGGCTGACATTGATTGCTGCCTTCTTGTTCCCCCTTTCTACAATTTTTGCAAGAGTATCAACAGAGATCCATTCCTTGTGATGGTACTTCTTGTGACCCAGAACTTCGTGACATGTTGAAGTGATTGCCTCCTTAATCCTTTTCCAATTGTTCTCCGATGTTGTTTCCTCTCCATTGAGTATATCGTCCAAGGCCGGAAACCTATTGTTGAGGGCTGTCTTGAATTCGTTGAGTTTTACTGTATCCCGAAGAAGGGCCGTGTGAAACTTCTGTGATGTTATCTGCCCCGTTGTCTAGTGTTGATTGAGGGTAAAGAATGAGTGGTTTTCGTAAATCTTCGTTATTTGATAGAGCTATTGTTATGTTAATCGGAATTGATTTGGTAATTGGACTGCACTCTGTTAAAAATTTCTTACCGAACTACGACATATCAATCGATTAATGAATCATGAAGCAGTAAATTACAAATGAAATAACAGCAATAACTATTTTAAAAAATCTTGGATGTTTATTAAGATTTGTAAACTGTTGTTTATTTCACTTTCGTTTCAGTTGATAATGATCGCTTGTATAGTAATTTCAACCATTTTGATAATCTTTCTATGTTTGATGTAAATTTCCTTCCTTCCTTTATAGAAGTGTATTTTCAAAATTCTCATCGTACTATCTTTGATCACCTAAAACTATTAACAGAAGGGTGAATTGCTTTCAGGCATGCATCACTTACTGTGGTTCGTTAGATAACTAGCGAAAATCGAGAAGAATGGGACAGTTATTTATCCTACTTTATGAATTTACAGAACTGCATAGAACGAATTCGCGGTCTTTTGATCGTTCTAGGTTTCTGACAGTGGTTTGGCAAGGAGTACTTAAGTTTAAATTTACACCTGGAGTCAATTATTGAAGATTATATTCTTTAGAGTTAACAATTACCTTTTCCTACACTTCTATTCTTAAAAACACGTAATAAATTTAAATAAATGATGAACGAATTGTATTTGGTTTATGCATCTTCACAGTCTTACGAGGATGATCTTTGATTATCTCCAAAATAACGGATTACATGTGAGCGTTGGAACAAATAACTGAGCACTACAGAGGTAAAACAATGTGACAGTCATGCCGTATTCTTTCTTCTTTAAAGTCGATGCAGATCGTAGGACAAGCATGGTTCCGTATATCTAACTACTGAGTTGTCGGTGATGATTAGTGTCTAAGCATATTGTTATTGTACATGGTATTGACGATGGATCAGCTGACATGCAGTCACGTTTGTGATGATTCTGTAAACGCCACATCGAATGGATCACCAGTTAATGGAAAAGTACAAGTTTCGTCGGAATTATTGGAATGGAAACTAATTTCACGTTTAAAATAAAAATCTATCATGATTTTTAAATTTATTCTTTTATCTTAATATATGAATTCATTGACACAATGTGTGTTAATTAGTGAGCAATTCATTTTTAACTTTGAAAGCTTTATAATCGCTGAAATATCATGTATAAAAGATGCAACTGTCAGTAAATTGTAGGTTAGAAGACATTGTAATGTTATTCGGTTGCACGTTGATGAGATTTTCTTTTGTCCACCTAACAACAAACTTGTTAACCAAACTAATTTCTTATGGTCTTTTGGTGTGTTCAATAAAAACAGATTTTTTATCAAAAAATACTTCAATAAAATAATAATTATAATTTCTGACAATGGAAAAGATATTTGTGAGTTACCAAAACTTAAAAGGCCATTAATGGTGTTATGTTATGTTTATAACTCTGAAATTATTCGATTCGCATTATTTCTCATCTAATCTGATTACTGAATATGATATTTACGATTGCACTTGTGCAGTTTTAACTGACGTTATCAATGTTTCATGTGTGACAACTAGAGTAACAGTTGAGCTGTTCTGGGTATCACTAGATAGCAGCTCGTATTCAATTATCATGTGGTGTATAATCATTAGCAAACGAGAGAAATCTGTCAGTGATTATATCTGGTATCATCTCTTCTACTACTATAACCTAAGAATGATATCCTGTTTAAAGTGTTGGTCGCTGATTTGTTAGTGCTGCCTTTGCTTTGATAATCCATACATTTACATCTGCCTCAGTCACTTTCCGTTACTTTGAGTGCAATAAGCTCTTAACCGTTGCACAGCTTCACTTATTCTGTCGAATCTCAAGTTGGTGCACTTTGAGATCATGAAGTGATCACAATCAGACTACAACCTTTTGGAATTTATCTGTGAACCAACATTCATGTAAAACGTTTCCATGCAGTCCTGTTTAGGTGTGATTGTGATTATTTGTAATAATCCAGATAACTAATTAAGTTCACTGAAGTGCAAACCAGTAAACTGAACAGCGCATGAGCAGTCAAGTGTTCGAATGATTTATTCACTAAAGTAGTCCTAACAAATCCGTTCGATCAGTAACTATGTAATTTATGTAGGACTCAGTACATTATGTTAAATTAAGTAACTAGTAGTCCCCTTCTAATTCGGTCGACCCATTTACATTGATGAAATATTGCTATCAGAAAAGTAATCACGTTAAATAACAGAACCTTTCAATCGATTATACTTTCTTTGACGTGTTTGAACAGTTGAAAAATGATCCAAGAAGTAAAAACACACTTATTAGAGTTCCAACAATATTCCAAACTTTTCTTGATAAAATGTTTGATCAATCAACAAAACATCCTTGTTATTATTATTCGCTGAACAATTGTTGAATTTGTAGTTTAAAAAGTATGAGAAATTCGAATGAGCTGTAATTTGTTGTAGCATCAATGTAATGTATAGTAATAAAGAGGCTAAACAAGCATCACCATCAGTAAGACGAAATTTCCCAAGTGTTGCTTGACCCACAGTCATATTTAACTGAAAATGAATTCAAATATACATGAACGATTTATGATGTGCAAACAAATGATAATTAATATTACCATTTCGGAAATCTTCGTTTTTGAACAGATTGACACCTCACTTATTTGGTTTACCCAGTATCATTGTGCAATAGGACTTGGAACACTCAATATTGCTAACAATCCTTGAATTATTTTCGAAAGAGTAAAATGGAAGTTGTGTAAATAAATGTTTCTGTCCAGGTTTATGTGCACTTTTATGTTGTTTTATTTTAATAATCAAAATTCTACATAAAATATCAATTATCAAACAATTCGAATTGGAGAATTGTTTTGTTTTAATCAAAAATAACTAAATGAAATTGTTATTGTGTACTCGATTCTGAATGAATAAATCAATTTCCAAGCTCCTATCTTCCAAACGAATTCATACATGTAAGTATCTTATACGACAACAAATTATTGACGACTATCAACAGAGTTGAAAACAAACATCTACAATTAGTTCGATCACAGTTGTTTTGGTTAAGCAAGTTGATTTCTCTCACCATTCAATGTTATACTGAATTATTGTATTAAACCGAACTATGCAATATTTAACCGACAAATGATTCATGATGCAGTAAATTACAAATGAAATCACAACAATAATAATTCATAAACTTATTTTCAAGTGAGAGATATTTAACTTACCAAGGTTAATAAAGCGACTGCGACTAGATCAAGTGTGATTAGTGCTGGCTGAAATAGAAACGAAATAATCAATAATCATATATGAATTACACCATTTCCTGCATCTCTGAATAAAACTGTTTGACGAATAGTCGATTGATTGGAAATCTACTACTTTAGGTAAGTAGATTATTCTTAATTACTAAACATTAACAAAATATCACAGTTTGTACAAATATCACGAATCACTGTGTTCATAAAATTCAGTTTAATTTAAAAACACATACCATACTTTTAAAATAAGCTGCAATAAGAATACCGACCACAGTAAGCGTACACGCGATGGTAAGAATCGTCAAAGGCCATTTCTTCTTAGTTAGTAAGAATTTCGGAAGAGAATCTCCTAATGATGTGAATACGAAAAACCATGTCAAAGCAATCGACCACGCTGCAATTTGACGTTTAATATGCAGACACCTGAATAGCAGAAGTACCATTAAGGAAGTGATTACAGCCTGAAAATAAGAAGAAATTCAATATTTCGCTCAATTTTCATGAGAAATTTTCATAGTTTACAAGTGACCAGTGTTTGATCATTATTTCTCATAGTGCAAAGCATAAATTGATCTTCACTACACCACTAATAGAAAAATAGAAGCATCGGAAGAATGTTACGTCTTAGTATGAGACCGATTAGCAGTGCGCTCCAACCAAGCTTACAAGCATGAATAGAAACGAAAGTCTTGGGTCTTGTACTCGATTGCTTGCAATCTAGAAAACTGTGTCATCATTCATTGGTGTCAATACATCAATTCACGATATTAAGCGACTTTCATTCATTGTCTGTGGCGGATGACTATCTGTGACCTGGCTCGGATGGAACTTCACTGGCTACTAGTAGGCACATGGTCGATATTCATGAAGAAAATTTGTGGAGATCATGTTATTTTCATAGTAGAATAATCCCAGATTTCTAATGATGCTCGAGCTAAGATCTGTTCGAGTCTTGAACTACAAAAGTGATAATGGACAATTCAAGAGAGGTTATTGGCACAAATCATTTGTAAGAAGGATGAATGACAACTGGATGTCGATAATATTAACTAACAATGAAAAATAAGAAAACATTTGAAAGAAGCGAAAAATCACACTGCGCTCAATGATAATTAAATGGTAAGTTCACGGAAAAATGTTGACTTGCAAATATCTCCTTTTTGTACAGAATTCAGATTTGACATAGTGGATTACTAGCTCCTCTTCAGTGCACAAGTGATTTTCTTATGCTATCTTCGAACAGAATCATCGTACTGCATAAATGAAGACTAGCTGGTTGAAGCCATGTGAACGACATTCATAAGAGTATATCACTATACATTTTGAGAAAATGTTTTTCTCACTTTGGAACCATCAATAAATCGTCAGTCCACATGTAACGGTTTGTGCACATGTCCGAAGGTCCTCGGTTTCAATCTTGCGAGAACATTGAATCGTGGTGATCTAACATTAATTAACAGATCATTTCAATGTGTTAAAACACTGCTCTCCAGAACTTGGATTGGAATAATCAGTTGTTTTGGTTTTTTCAATGACTTTATGGAATAATATCGTTATTTTCAGGTAACAAACATAAATCTTTTCAATAACTGCATTGTTGTTCGCGATAAAAAATCCGATCTTGTCTTGTATAATTCAAAGAATCATAAAGTAATTTCATTTAATTAGTCACATTTTCCTGTTCATATCAAAGCATCTTAGGAGGTACTGAAGTGGACGGAATTCGATTGTCTCTAACTCCAAACAGACAGTTTTGAAGCAAAACTATATTGACTATATAGTTTTGTATTCAGATTTCTATTTGCGAAATGAAATGTAACGATGGTTGGATGAGTTGATCGATGTAAACTAATCGGCTCTATAAAATGTTAAATTTTATATACAGTCTTAAGTGCAGACAAATAAGTAATTTAGTTACTCATACTATGTTATCATTCAAAAGCAGGTTGATCTATTAAATTATACTCAGTCTTAAGTGCACACAAATAACTGAAGTGATTCAGTTGGTTGGTTATATACTAGGAGGTCACGAATTACAAGTTGATTGAAAATGGGAAAATGTAGATAACAAACTTACGTAAAACAGTAACATGAATAAATTTAGTGGAAACATCAGTCGTATTTTCTTCACAAGAATCAGTAGGATTACCATCCCAATATCTAAAACGCTGAAACGGAAGTAAAAACAATACAGTGTATTAAGTTGAAATGTTCAAAAATAATATTCTGGCTTATGCAAGTAAATTTCATTTTGAACTTTTATACAAATTCATTAACCCGACTAACATCAACTAATATAATAAATTTCTATATATAGGCAGAACTAATGATAGCAGATAGTAGAAACCTGCTGAAATGTTTCGTCAAAATCTGAGACTTTCAGCTGTATGTACTTGGATCATCACAAAGAACTCTATGTTTTGATTCAAATCCACTAAATTTCTTCAACATATATTGATCTAAATTTCATGGAGCACCACAACAACTGGATAAATCATAACTAGTCTGATAATATTTGGATCCATAAACCGGTTGATCCGGAAAACATTCAGATCAAGGTAAAACCTATTTTAACTACTCAAACTTATTAACATTCGAAATCTACTCTGTTATCTAAAACTCTAAACACTTGATAAAATCAACACTGCAAAATGTTAACTTAAGATCAAACGCTGAGTGTTTCTATTCTTCATTTGATCAACAAAAATATCAGTTCTTTTCGAAAATACACAACTTTCTAGAAATAATTCGATTGCTCAATAGACTCAAAAACGTATTCTAAATTATACATAAGACTGTTGCATTAGAAATTAGTGACGTATATGTTTGCATAGTCATTTCAGTTCTAATTGTTACCATTAATTGAGACAAGATCTCACGGTATTCAGAGAAGTATCATTTAAAATACTGCAAGATACCATTTAAGTAAATCATTGAGATTTTACATGTAACGCATACAGTAATAACTACATTGAAAAATAAAATACCATTTTCAGATGATGGTATTTTATGAAACAAATGGCTTACATGAACACAACCTCAAGCGATATCCAAATTTCCAATTTCATTTCCTTTAATTGGTGTCTATTAATGAATGATCCATACTATTTTATGAACTTACATTTGTGACAATCCAAGTGTTATCGCGATCGATAACAATATTTGCAATGTGAGAAAAAGTACAATCTGAAATAATCCAATATCAAATGAATGACTTTCACTTGTCCACGATATTTCTTCTCACTTAACGAAAATTCCTTCTTAACTATCATCATGTTTTGCATTTTGAACATATTTAATGGTAGACTATGGAAGTTGTGACAAGCATTTATTCATTTTCTTTGTTTAATTTGCGAATCCAATTGGTATCCAGTTGGATAGAAATCGAAATCCTGAAATTAAATATTGAAGAGTAGTATCTGCAGTAAGTTACAACGTAGAACTTTGTACGTACGTACGTAAGTTCAGGTTTCCATAGCTCATTAGCAGAGAGACATAATTTTCAGTTCAAATCATATAGTGGTAGAGATAGTACGAGCGTCAGCAGTTATGGAGAAGACTAAGTTTCAAAAAAGTTATTCAAAAAGTGCAATGCAATGAAATAAATTTAGAAAGAGAAAGAGAGAGTTAATGAGGAATTCATGAGGTCAGAAGTTGAGCGAACACAAAGAGTGGATACCATCGGTTAGTATCGTCTAGCGATCCCTAACCAGGTAGTCTACATCTAACTACATAACTTAGTCCACTTAAAAGTGACTTCATGTATTTGTGCCATGTTTTGGTTCGGCTGCGCCAATTCCTACATAACATAACATCACTCGTCCTGGTAGTCAGCGGCTGGTCGTACGTAACGTATGTCTCAACCTCCTCATCTGATGAAGCTCTAATAATTCATCCACTGTTTTGACATCCCTATCTAGTACTCGTTTCTTAACAACACCACTGCTCACTCGGTTGTACCAAGATATCACGAAGCAAGTAAGAAACACTACTGACTTAGATAACTAAGCGTTGATTATTATTGAACTGTGAGTCCATTTGAAATCTCAGAATCACAGCCTTGATGGTCATCTTCTATTACTAACGATTGGGAAGTTAACTTCAATCAACTAGCTTCATTTTTCAATTGTAAATATTCACTCTCACTCAGTTTGAATATATGTAGAATGGAATCACGTAGAATAACCTTGTTTTACTGGTTGTATGGACAATTCATTTGTACATTCTAGTGACACTGAACAGTTTTCTTTTCATTTTAAAACTCTTGCTACTTTGATCAATTCGTACTTTCTATTAATCCATAAATACATAAATAGATGTTTTTTCAAAAATTCATTACCACAGATCCAATGTTATGTAGAAATTTCCTTCTCTCATATTGTCTGATATAATTTCTCAAAAACTATTGATATGTTTTATTTATGTGAATATTGAGGTAGATGAAGTCAGTGAAACATTTCAGAATATTCGGATTATTATGGGTTAATTACCATAATATATAACACATGCAAATTTTATTGTTCAATGAATAAAAGAGTGGTATTTATTTATATGAGAACTTTCTATGAAAATTTACTTACTTAAGTTTCAAATTCTAGACAGCGTAATTTCATTTGTTTATACTCTGAAATATTTGTTAATGAATTGAGAGAAATGTTCCATTCCTGCAAAAAACAATAAACGATTTGTAAATCTGGAAAATGGTTTGATGCATTGAACTGCCAATAAGGATTTATGCCAATCAGTAAATGAACTTTAAACAGTAGGATATTTTCATGTTCAAATTCAAAGAACATGAACACGAATAGACTATTGGTATCGCATATATATTATTCGAATAAAGTTCACACATTTTTAACAGTAAGAATTACTCGGAAAAAAATCGTGTTTTCGTAGTGTTTTGCATGTTCTTAGTGTAGAACGTCAGTATTTCATGATAACATTTCATGATTTAATAAACTGCCATTGACCAACGATTCATACGAAATGATTGATTTGAATATCTCGAATGTGAT